CCAGGTACCCAAAGTGCTGTCATATGGAAGAGGGCTAAGATTTGTATTACTTGACCCCAGAGGCCAGAACTGGGAGTAATGGGTATAAAGGCAGTTTTAGGCTGGTCATCAGGAAAAATTTCCCAATAATCAGAGTCATGCAAAAGTAAAATGGGTTGCCTCTGGAGGGGGTCGGCTCCCTAAGTGTCACCTGAGGTCTTCAAATGAAGGCTGAAAGATCACCTGTCAAAGATGATGGAGAAGGAATTCTCCCAGTAACATTCAGGTATGACCTTTCAGGTCTCTTCCCACTTTGAAATCCTGTGATTCAGTGAAAGACCAAAGCCCTAGCTTCCTACCACTCAGTAGCCATATGATCTTCAGCAAGCCGCAGCTCCCTCATCCATAAAATAGGGATGATACTATTCTATCCACTTGAAAGGCTTTTGTGAAGGCCAAATTAGATATTATATAAAAAGTGTTTTGTAAGTGCAAGATATTTCTCTAATTTGGGCAGAACCTAGTAAATCAAAAGGTATTTATTGAGGGCCTAATTGTACACAACAATGGCAAATGAAGACAATGGAACATACAAACATATTTTCAACAGAAGGAAAGCATTAAGCAAAAAAAAATTACCATAAAGTACATTCATTCCACAAGCATTTATTAATTGCCTACTACATATAGCCTATCTTACAGGAAGGTAAATTCACATTAAGAAGAAAAGACCCACCCACCCTAATAAATGGGAACATGAGAAGGGCCTGTCATTCCCAGCAGCAAGTCCCAATGGGAGATGTGTCACCAGCTGAAAATCAGACCCAACTCCTCCCCACCGCCCCCAGAAGCCTGGTTTATACCCTTTATGTAAGGGAAATAAAGGAAATTTTCCAAAGCATCTTAGCTAGATCTGCCCCCAGGAATTATCCCAGGAACTGGAGTAAAACTGGCCTGGAAGAATCCTCTTTTTATACACTCAATCAGCCAGAAGGAAATAGAAGCAACTATCAGGATGGGAAACCGCCAGATCTGAATCCAGTTGGTGATGTTATCTAAAGTTTTATCTGCTTTTTAGAAAGAGGATTGTGTCTTTACCAAAGCCTTTGGTTAGGTGATTGGGAATGAGCATACCTGCTAATCAGAAACCAGGATTCCCTTCCCCTTAAGTGTTTCGGAAAGGACACCAAAGGAAGTCAAGAGATCTAGGTACTTGTTTCAACTCTCCCACTAACTAGCTCTGTGACCCTGAACAATTTACAACACATTTCTGAGCCTCAATTTTCTAATCTGTAAAAAACCAAGAGGATTGAACTGATCTCTGAAGTTCCTTCCAATTTAGACGGTCTATGACAATAATATTTTTTTTTTTTGAGGAGGGGACAGGATGGTCAAGCCTATGATTTCACTGGAGCACTAAGAACTTAAGTGACTTGCTCAGGGTCACACAGCCAATGTGCGTCAGAGGTGGAACTTGAACCCAGGTCTTCTTCCTGATTCGGGAGCCAACTATGACCTCTGTGCCAGACTGATTCTTATCTCTGTTCTTTTCAAAATGTTCCATAGGCACAACTAAAGGGAACAATGCTAACTACGGGGTCAATTTAGGGGTTTAAGTTTGCTTTTTAATCAGCCTGGGGCAGTCATCTGGGATCCTGGTCTTTATTAGCCCCAAACTCCAGATCAGTCCTAGAATAATCCAGGTCTTTCTATGATTCTGAAAACCAGAGGAAAACTGGGACAAGCCAGATACCCTCCTCTTCAGCTCTGCAGTGCCAGTCCAAGGCATAATTGGGAAGTAGATAATTTTCTTTTTTAGCACCTTCCTCTCTCCTCATCTTTCTGTTTTCTTGTACCCGGTACTCTCAGGTTGCTCATCAGTTTACCTGGGAGCCATGAATTTTTACCTACTGAGGCCTGTTCTAATAGGACACACTGCAGAGTTAGCTAACTGTTGCCTTCCTCTCATCCTCATCTAAAAGTAATCTGATAAATGAAGGTAGGCAGGGGATAGAGTGCAGGACTCAGAGCTCAGGATGATCAGGGTTCAAACACAGCCTCTGATACTTACTGGCTGAGTGTCACTGTTTGCCTCAGTTTGCCAGGGATAATACCAGCACTTATCCTTCAGGGCTGTTGTGAGGATAAAATGAGATAATTATTTGTGACATGCTTTGGAAACCTTAAAGTGCTATATAAATAGTATTTATTATCATCGTTATTATTATTAATGATAATAGTAGTAGAGTCAGCTGTTAGCATTTCAATTTAGTTGGGGTCTTTCTGGAGAAAATGCCTTTTGGGTCACTTTAAACATTGTGCCAATATCTCTTGAATCTGTATCCTTCTCTTTGCTCATACTGCCACCCCCTCCCGCCATGAAACCTTCAAGACCACTGCAGTAGTCTCCTACATGGTCTTTCTGACTCAAGTCTCCCTTTTCTAAATCATCCTCCACATACTGATGAAGGAATGTTCCTAAGGCACAGGTCTAACCATGCCACCCCTTTGCTCAAAAACTTCTAGCGGTGCCCTATTTCTCCAGGAGCATAAACAAACTCCTCTGGCATTTCCCAGTCTAGTTTCAACCTACCTTTTATAAGGTTTATTACAGGTTACTCCCTATCACGCACTCTACCATCCAGCCAAACTGACCTACTTGTAGTTCCTCACATACAACATTTCAGGTTCTGTTTTCAGGCCTTTGCATAGGCTGTTTCCCGTGCCTGAAATTTATTCTTTCATCACCTTTACCTCTAAAGAGTGTCCTGATTCTTAAAGATCAACTTAAGTGTTCCCTCTTACAGGAGTCCTTGCCAAATCCCCCAAAGCTAGTGCTTTCCACTCCCATCCCCTTCACCATATTACCTAGTATTCACTGTCTATATTTTGGGGGTTTTTTCTAACATGGATACATGTTACATTATTATATTATATTATGTTATAATATATTATATTACTTCCCCTTGACAAGTTCCTTGAGGACAGAGATGGTTTTGTTTTTTACTTTTGTTAAGGGTTACCTACCACAGTACCTAAAACCATATAAAATGCTTGTTGATTGACTTAGGAGGAGGCTGGTGGGGACAAGAAGGCATTCATCCCATTTCTAATACCAGTTACCTGCTGACTCAGAGCATGACTGGCCCTACATTCACAGTTCAAAGGGTCCTGCAGACCCGAGGAGAATCCCCTCAGGTTCAATCCCAGGCTGGAGTTGGACTGGCCTCTAGAGTCATCACTGAATCCCACTTCAGATATTTACTGACTTGTAGTGACCACAAGCAAGTCAGAGCCCATGTTCTCATATCTGTAAAATGGGCTCAGTATTTGTACTCTTTCTACCTCACAGAACTGTTTTAAGGACAATGCTTTTTCAAACCTTAGACTCAAAGGGCATTTATCTGCCTCATTACTTTTATTGCAATTTAACTTTCTGCTTCACCACAAGACAACAAAGAAGGACTTCTAGGTCTTTGGATCTGGGTGGTCTCTGACCTCCCTGTTTGGGTGGGGGCCGGCTTGGTTTCCCAATTTTCCTTTATCCAGGTTCTCAAGCCTGACGGAGGAAGAGTTTTGCATCATTTCCTGACCATAACTGACACAGTGGTATTGTTTTCCCAACTGGGTCCTGGCTCAGGGCCTGAGCTACCACTGGAGAGGGCTACACCAGGTTTAATACCTCTTACTTCTGCTGGTCCCCTCAGTCTGAGGACTGGGAGAGAGGGTGCTGTGGGCACCAACTTTGCCATTCCAGCTCACATAGCTTTTCTCCCTTTTCCCTGGAAGGGATAGGGTTAAGATGGGGTTGGCAGAGTCTGCAATGACCATCTGGCCACCTGTGCCAGGGGCCTAGGTAGGTGTGGTTCACCACCCAAGCAGTTACTTGGGAAAGGGCATCCTTCCTGAACAGGAAAGGAGCAGGGAAGAGAAGGAAGGAAGGAAGGAGGTGAACCAAAGACTGAAAGAACAAGACAACTCATTTTATTTGGCAAACAATTATTCAAGTGCCTCCAGGATCTACACTGTCTTTTACCTTGCTGAAAAGACAAAATGGATCGTTTCCAGGATGATACCAGATGAATTCTGTCACACTGCTTCTTCTAGGTATCTCATCCTCAAGCAAAGAGGAAAAACACAAATTAAAAAAAAAACAATCTGATCAATTGTCTTTCAACCCAACCCCTGGTCATTTATTTTAATGTATTTTAAAACATGACAAGAAGAGGCTTTACCAGAGTGCCAAAGTGGGTACAGCTCACAAACAAATCGTTAAAAACCTCTGCCTCGAAGCTGGGTAGAAAAGGGCGCTCCCACCAGGCTCCTGAAAGACAAGGTGGCTGGGCGAGGTAAGGCGAGGGGTGTAGACGCGCCTGCCTTATCTAGGACAAATTCACCTTAGGCTTCCGGGGAGCTGCAAACCAGCCTCGAAAGGGCAAAGGTGAGGCTGGCTGGACCCAGAAAATCCTAGAAATCTTCTCAAACGATAAGGGGTGGTGTTTTGTTTTTTTTTAAGGAGATTAAAGAAGTCGACAATTTATATTCCTACATATTGACTGCTGGTCAAAAAACGTAGTCTTCCCCCATTAGAATGTAAGCTCCCTGAGTGCAGGAACTGGTTTTTTTAAAAAACCCTTTTGTGTATTGCTAACGCTAGCACATGGTAAGCTTGTCGTGACTGGGGGTGGGGGGCAGGATGGAAGGAGGCTCTCGTAGAGGTGTTGCTGGAGGGGTTCCCCCCCCCATATGGCTGGGAGGACCTTCGGAATGCCTCTCTCCAGCTGGAGTGCTCGGGCCCGGGCGGAAGCCCTCCTTTAGGGTCGGGCGGCGGGGCCCCCCTGCCCCCGTGGGGCTCTGGCCGGGCGCTCGGGGGCAGGCCGGGCCGGGCCAGGCCGGGAGCACGGGGAGCCCGCAGGCCGGGCCGGGCCGGGCCGGAGCTGCGCGCCGCTGCGCGGAGCGGAGGCGTCGCGGGGCGCAGGGGGAGGGGCGGGCGCGGCGGCCCAGCGGAGGAGGAGGAGCTCGAGCCGGAGCCGGAGCCGCAGCCGCTGCCGCCGCTGCTGACAGCGGCCCGAGTAAACAAGCACGGCTGCCGCGGCCGGGCGGCCCTTGCAGTCCTCCCTGCCTGCGAGCCCGGCCCCTGCTCGGGCCGAGCCCGGAGCCAGCGTCGCGGGCTGGAGCCACCGCCGCCGCCGCCGCCGCCGAGGCGCTGAGCTTCCCCGCGAGGCGCCGCTGCTCCAGCGCCGCCGAGACGGACCCGGGCGCCGGAGCCCGAGCCGAGGCCGCCGCCGCCGTCACCGCCTGGGGCTTCGTGCACGGCGGGCCGGGGCCCTGCGCCCTGTGCTCCCACCCGGAAAAGTTTCCGCAGCCCGAGCTCCCTGGGGTAAGCCGCGAACCGTGTCCAGCGCCCGAGAGCCGGGGCCCGGCCCCGAGCCCGAGCCGGGCCCGGGCCACCTCTCCCGGGGCTGGGCGCTCGGGGTTGCGCGAGGTCGAGTGTGGGGAGGGGGCTCCCTGACTCCGGCCACGGCCTGGGCAGCGGCGGGGAAGAGGGTGAGCAGGCTGGGTCTTGGGGGGTGGTCGTCTGTGGAAGGGGGGCTCGAACGGGAGCCCCCAGATTCTGAGAGGTCAGGAGACCAGCAGGGACCTTGCTTGGCTCCAGTGTAGTCCGCACTAGGTGACCCTTGCCCAGTCTTTTGTCGGTGAGCCACCTCCAGACCTTCCCCTCCCCACAGAGAAGAGGGACTGGGGGGGTGGGTTGGGGTGAGGGAGAAAAGCACCCCTAAGCCCTGCCTGCGGTGGAAAATCCTTCCTGGGGAGGGGTCCTTCTCAGTTGCTGCCCACTCTAGTACTTTTCCACTAGGGACCATATAGACCAACTCTGACCCCAGGAAGTGCATGTCTGGCCCCTACTGGTTACTGGATCCAGGGGACTAAGTCCAGAAGGAGCTTGGGTTCCTCCAGCCTCCACCCTCCCTGGGGATGGTTGCTCTCGCTCCCACTCCCCAACCAGGAAGGGACAGGGTTTCCCAGCTGTGGAAGGGGGAGAGCCGGCTTTTGATACTGAATGCATTGTTCTTAGCCCAGAGCCGTCACTCTGGTTCCCCTACCTGTGTGGGGGGAGAGAGAATCGAGGTGGTGCTTCTGTGTGGTATGGCCGTACGAGCTTTGGCTCCTGTTTTTTGAGACCCGATCTCCAGGGTTACCTCATAGAGGCCTACCCTCCTCTGCCTCTGAAAATGTTTGGCACTCGTGAGAGTCTTGGGGAGGACGGGAGGCGAGGAAATTGAGGTTGTCGGGCTGGACAGCTCTGAGCACGGACCTAGGCAGTTCTTCGGTATAGGAGTCCAAACCTCAAGCTAGGGATCCCCACCTCCCCAAGTGGCTGGCATCTTTGAGCTAGGCCAGTTCCAGAGCTAGATGCCTGCTGCATTCTCCAGCATTTACAAATGTCGGGCAGATGGGAAGAGAGCACATAAGGTAGTTGAAATTTCCTTCTCCAGCCCCCGCTCGCAGCTTCTCCCCTTCCCCCTCCCCCTCTCCATTGAAGAGAGGAGGAAAAGTGGTTTCTGGGGAAAGCACCTGAAACTGGTCAGATGGATGGCATGGAGCAAGGATCAAGGACTGGGGGGAAGGAGAGGGTCTGGATTTTGTTGGGTAGCTTTGTGTAGTCCAGAGTCCACGATAACACCCACCTTCAGGCCTCCTAAGTGTGCCTGGCATGTCTTTACCTAGCTGAAAAGAAGTGGATCGGGTTTCCAGTATGATACTGAGTTTTGTCACACTGCTTTGTCGGTGTCTCATCCACACTATTATGTGGCTGGGAGGAACCCTACCTTATAGGGATCCTTGCTTGGAAAATCACTGAGTGCTTTGCAATTCCAGGTTTTCACCGGGCCACTTTACTAATCGGGATTAGAAGGGACAGGAGACTGACTAGTAATCTCCAAAACCCTTTTAGACCCCAGCACAAACAGCTTCCTTGAAGTGGTGAGAGTCTGAGTGCCAAGTTTTGTGTGTGTGTGTGTGTGTGTGTGTGTGTGTGTGTGTGTGTGTGTGTGTGTGTGTGTGTGAGTGTGAGGGGCTCATTTGTATCTCAATGGAGAAACAGCCTCAGTTGTAGACGAGTTAGAACTTGGTGGGTGAGTCAGAGTGTCTAGGGTGGGGGTGGTGGGGAAGCCCATTGTTTAAAGTTTTGGCTCCCTCAGCTTCCATTCAGGCCAACTAAGATGCAAGCTTGATGGTCTTTCTTAAGGCAGAGGTCTTTGTAAGGAGTATTCCTTTTGACCAGAGGCCGGTGACATCCTTGCTCATTTACTAGGGGAGGCAAATGCTTTAGGGGAAGGAGGAAGAGGGTACATGGACTGGGAAAGAGGAAAAATGTTTTTGTTCAACTTCAAACCTGCTTCCCCTCAGAGCTGCAAGGCCTGTGCAGGGTAATTAAATAGTTGGTTAATCACCTTTAACATCAGGCAGCTGCTGCTTGATCCCACAGAGATCGGAAACCAGCTTTATTGAGCCAGTTTTAGGCTTGGGCTGCAGTTTAGCCCCTGCAGGTTCCTGGCATTTTTGTAAAGGCTGAGGTCCTTGAGTAAATACATGTGGAAAAGTCTGACTTCTCCTTACTTCCAGCCATTCTTGGCATTCTGTGGTATCTTGAGGGCAATTCCTCCCTCAGCCCCTCCCTGTGAAGAGATTGTGCTCTTTGGTGTTGGGAGAGGATTGGGAGGGGGAAGACAGTGGATGGATGCAACTATCAGCTGTCAAGTTATTTTGGTATAAACTGAAAATATCCTGGAAGTACAGGTGGTGGTTGTATGTGTGCATGGCAGCCCACTAGAGTCTGGAGTGTGGTATGTAGAATTCTGGCTATATAGATGAGGGGGAGGGTGCCACTTCCTGCTTGGAGACTGTGGACAGGACTGGCAAAGGGGTGTGGCCGACCCTGGACATATTCTACTTAGTATTGACATAAGACTCCTTATTTTCCACTTGGTTTGCAAAGTACTTTACACATAATCTCATTTGATCCTTGACACAATCTGGTGAGGTAGCTCTCTTATTTTCTTCATTTTACAAATGAGGAAACTGAGGCAAACAAGTTAAGTGAATCACCCAGGGTCACACAGACAATAAGTGTCTTAAGGGCCAATTTGAAGTCAGGTCTTCTGGACTGTCGGCCTAGTGCTCCATCCACGAAACCCTTAGGGAACAGCATCCACTGCTCCCTTAGCTGTGACTTGGGGAACCCTGGTTGTAAGTCCTGTCTCGTTATGTCTTGGAGTGCTAGACAGAAGTCTGTTTCAGAGGTGAGGTGCTCTCTGGTTTTCTTTTTGCCAGGTTAAGGTATCGCTTTCAAAGCTTGGGCCCACCATTAAAAGTCTTCTTGTAGTTCAGTGGTGCTATGAATGTGGAGCCCCAAGCTAGTGAGAGAGATATAACCAGGAGCCTCAAAAAGGACCAGTTTTCACCTTGAGAAACTACACATACATGAACACAGCAGCCTTCCTTAGGCTAGCATGCTGAGTCCTAAGTGGTGTCACAACTCTGCATTTCCTCCAGACTTCTATGAGTACATTTTTAGCTCAGGAATTGGCTCGGTGTGGTTTCTTGTAGGGTTGGGGGCCCGTGTAAGGGACAGTTATGTGAATGTGGGCAGAACAGTCCCGTTGTTTGTTTGCTGAGGGAGGAGGAGAGGCAACACACAGCCTATTGATTTCTTGCCTCACCTTAGCTCCTTGGCTTAGCAGGCTGTTTGCCTGGGCAGCCTGTGGCTTAGGTTACGTAAGACATGGTGTATGTACTTTTGTGCGTGGGGGTGCTGATGCCACCCAGCTTTAGCATGCTGGCGGGTCTCCTATTGTGGGCACGGCTGAGATAGTAGCCGCCCCCCAAGCTAATCAGGGACAGTTGGAGAAGGTGGTGCCCTAAAGGGAAACCACAGGATCAATTAGCAGAAGAGACCCCAGGCCTTCTTCATTTCTAGGCTAGCTGTTGAACGTCCCTGGATTTAACCCAGAGGGAAAGGGATACTCCCAGCCTAGGGAACGCTGTTCATATTTACACTAGCGGAAATAAAGCTCTTGTGTGTCCATTTGACACAAGTGGCAGAAAGTCCTAGACCCAAGCAAGATTCATCCTGTCCTCTGATGTTTGTCTTTCATATGCTAACAACTCACTCCAACTATACATATAGACCAGACAGAGCAGGGATGTAGAATTGAGCTCGTTGGGCCCGTGTTGATTTTCCTGGTGGGAACCAATCTTGAGTGAGTCAGTCTGGATTTTTTTCCACACACACTTCTGTTGCACAGCATACCGAGTGTAAGAACTGAGGGTTTGTGTTGTCATGTGGTGGGGTCAGTCATGTGCTGTCCCACAAGAGACCTTGGTGCTGGAGGGATGGAAATAGATTGCCAAGTTTCTCTGGAGGAGGCAATTTTTTTGCAAAAGCACTTTTTAGGGCAAAAGTATGATGAGGGAGGGAGCAACTCTGTCTTGCAAGGCACAGCTCAAATGAATTAATTTCCTTCTTTTCCATTGTTTAACAGAGCTAGTGGCCCTGAGTCCTGCTCCATCTGGCCCTCCTTGGCTTGGCCACATGCCCCCACCCACCCACCCCAGGGCTCAGCACACCGAGCAAGAGCCTGGGACCAAAGCCATTCTGACCAGGCACAGGCACTGAACATATAAGAGGGAAGTGGGATTCCCCGGGCTCTGCCCGCCCACCCCATGGAGCTGAGGCCCTGGTTGCAGTGGACTGTAGTGGCAGCTTTGATTCTGTTGGTTGGAGAGGTCCTCACCCAGAAGGTTTACACCAACACCTGGGCAGTGTTTATCCCAGGGGGCCTAACTGAAGCAGACAGAGTGGCCCGAAAGCATGGATTCCTCAACCTGGGACCGGTGAGTGTTTAGCTCCATTGCCCTTCAGTAGGGTCAGCCTTGGGAAGAGAGTTCCTGGAAGGGTGAGGGGAGAGGGTAAGTTGTATTTCTCAAGGGTTCTTTCAGCTAATGGGTCAGAGGAATGACCAGCCAGGCTAGGCTCTCTGGTACCTACTTATCAAACTTCATTGAGGGAGAGACTGTTATTTTATTCCTGTGCAAAATCATGCTACTGATATTTGGGAAAATAAGTAGAAGAGGGGAGCTCAGGGTGAAACAGGCCTAGAGCTTCAGGGGACCTCAGGCATTGTAGGAAACAGTGGCCTGGGAGCAGAGGAAGGTAGGTACTTCTCTCCAGGGGCTGGGCAGAGTTCCTTGCTTTGGGATGGTCAGCAAGACTCTGACCCTTGCCCATGTGGCAGGAAGTCCCAGTTCCTGTTTGGCCTCCAGAGTAGGAGTGGTGTGACTTTTGTTTAGCATTTTGTGAAAATTAGCTGTGGCTGTCCTTTCCTTAGCCTGGCATCATTCGGCCTCTTTAGCTGTTGCCCTTTTGGATGACAGAGAGTTCCAAATCTCTCAGATGCTTCAGGGTACCCAATGTTTCCTGGCTAGGAAAAGGGGGCAAGGGCTTACTTATAGTGTCCCTAAGCCAGAACAGAAGAACTTGTATCCTCCAGCTCTCAGACCACAGAAGTTATCTAGGAATGAGACCAGGATCAAAACAGAACAAGAGCTCACTTTTGTGTGGCACTTTAAAGTTTGCACAGTTATTTATCCAGTTACCCTTGAGGGAGGTAGTATAAATATCATGCCCATTTTATAGATGAGGAAACTGAGGTGAAGTAACTTGCTCATGTTTACATATCACCAGTGATTGCTGGAGCTGAGATTTGGACCCAAATCTGCCGACTCCAAGTCTAGCCTTCTCCCTGTTGTGTCACCACTGCCTCTCCTGAAGCGCGAGCATACACACACACACACACACACACACACACACACACACACACACACTCACTCACTCACTCACTCACACACTCACTCTCTCTACCTCTCTCTCCACACCATCTGCCTCCTCTCAGATGGTGATTGCTTTGCAATGAGGGCTGCTGCTAGGAGTGTAGGAATGTTTTTAAGAACGAATAGGGTCAAGGGAAAGAGAACTTGGTATGAAACAAGATTCAAACTTCAGAATAGCCAAGCATAGACTTATCACCTTAAAATTTCTGTATGATTGAGACTTTCGGACCTAATTCAAACAATATTTGGTACAATGAAATTTCAGTAAAAAGAATGTGAACGTTTTTAGTTCTTATAGTAGTGGCATTTGCCCTGTATTTATCTCTGGGAGGTGAGGCTGTGAGCCCTTCATGCCCTAGTTCCCTAGATTTTCCCACATCTGGGCTACAAAACAAAACCATTTCTAAGAGCTGAGTTTCCCAGGTTGTCCCAGGGGAGCACTAATATGCTCTCTTAAACTCAGTGCCCTTCGGTAGAGGGTTAAACTGTGCCCAGGAGCAACAAGAGAAAGGGTGAAGAATTGTTTTCCATTAATCCTAGATTGCTCAAAAGGAAAAATTAAATATTTTTTTGCATGTGGTGGTACAGATTAAATGAAAAAGAGGCCCTAGAATAGTCTTACCTGCCCAAAGGTTGAAAAGCAACATTGAGAGCTGTCTCTGAGAGGGAAGGAAAGAACCACGGAAGAGCTTCCCCGGACTTCCTAACTGGCCACGCTCTACATGCTTGCTGTTGCCTTAGTTTCTCTCTACCAGTAGGTTTAGTCCCTTCTGCTCATTCCTGAAGATTAATAGGCCAAAAGCTCATGTCTACCCCTGGTGGAATGCTGACTCAGTCACTCTTGCCTGATTTCAGATTTTTGGGGACTATTACCACTTCTGGCATCGGGCAGTAGTGAAACGGTCGCTATCACCCCACCGCCCACGTCACAGCCGCCTACAGAGGGAACCCAAAGTAAGTGCAGCCCTTTCTTTCCTCCCTTTGAGGGAGAGGCTTGTTGATGATTGAGCCAGGGGTTATACCTGATAGGAAGATGAGAGGGCCCTAGGTCCAACCTGCCTCTGCTCCAGTAGTACCTTCCCTTTTGCGTAATGTGGCAGTCTTTGGCCCAGTTGCACAAACTTTACACTGATGCTACTGATGTAGCATTTCAGCCTGGCTCAGGATGCTTGCAGCAGAGCCTGTAGTTTTATGGCAGAAACCTTGGCCTTTGTTGTGGGGGGGGGAAGGGGAAAAGGAAATTGAGGGGGGGGTTAGAAGGAAGGAGCCTGTGTTGTATGAGGCAGGAAACTTGGACTCTGGGGACATAATTCCCTATTATTGATTTAATTGCACTCCAAGTTGTCTCTACTTATCTCAAAGAATATTGCAAATTTCAAAAAACAAAATATTAATCTAATGCACTACAGATGTAAAATATTTGACACCTTTGTAGGGTGGATGTGTATGTGTGTTAGTACAAACAGGGCCCGTATGGCAAGGGAATCTTGAACTTACATTGGGAGCTTATCTACTACTGTGCCTAACACCTTAATGAGGTGGCCTTTCCTTCACCTTTTCCCTTCGTTCCTAGCCTTCCCCCCTCAACCCACACCATGTCTTCTCCCCTTAACTCTTTGCTCCAGGTGCAGTGGCTGGAGCAACAAGTGGCAAAGCGTCGGAAGAAGCGGGACATCTTCATGGAGCCCACTGACCCCAAGTTTCCCCAGCAGTGGTACCTGGTATGTAGAGATCGTGGGATTCTGTACAGGATCTGACCTCCAGCGCCCCAGCTGGGGGAGCTTTGGGACAAACCTGTCACCTGTAAACGTTTTGTCCTTTGCCATGCCCTTAGGTGCCCCCTCCATGCTAATCCTCAGCTCCTTTTTTGCCACCTTTGGCTCTCTGTTTTGACCTGGTCTGGCTAATCGTTACTATAGTTTTTGCTGTAGTAATCCTCTACCAATGGGGCCTAGCCTCAACAAAATTGTTTCTTTGGTGCCATTTCCACTGCCCTTCTCTTCCCTCCTCAGGGCCCCACCCCCACCCCAATCATTCCTCATCTTAGTCTCCAGTAATTGTTAACTCACCCTTCTGATTCTTGTAACTTGATAACAGGTTTTAAAAGCTTAAAATATTAACCTTCCCAAGGGCATTTGTATTTTTTAGGGTATTCTTAAAGACCCAGAAAAGTAATACTAATGACAGAATTTTGGGCACAACGATAGCTATTGGGGAATACTTGGAAGGTAGGAACTTTTCAGGAACCCCTCAAATTATACCATCTATTTCATCTCCTTGTAAAGTTGGCCTTGCTGACCATCACCACAGGAAGGCCAGGAGAGTGTCGGTGAGCTCTGCAGGGTCACTAGACATCTGGGATGTGGGGTTTGGGGTGGTGGTGAGTGACTTCTGATAGGTGTCTGGATATGTGCTGAGCCATTCTGGGTGTCTCTGCAGTATGGCATGAATCAGCGAGACTTGAATGTTCGAGGGGCCTGGTCCCAAGGCTACACTGGCCGTGGCATTGTGGTTTCCATCCTGGATGATGGCATTGAGAAGAACCATCCTGATCTGGAGGGCAACTATGTGAGTCACCCCTTGGAGTGGGGAGGCACCTTGAAGACGGGTAACCAGGACCCATGACTTCTGGGGAAGGCTTGGCACCACAGACGTAGCCACTCACCAATCTAGGCAGGGCTCTACTCACCAGGGTGGGATTTCTGGCAGCCAAAGTTATCAGGAGTTTTGTTCAGGAGTCTAGGATTTGTGCACGACCACCACTGGGCACCTCTTGGGCAAGACAGGAGCTATCCCTTCCTAGTGTAGCTTCTGAAAGGCTTGTTCCCTCCCAGGATCCTGGCGCCAGCTTTGACGTCAACGACCAGGACCCAGACCCCCAGCCTCGTTACACGCAGATGAATGACAACAGGTAACACTGAGGGCCAAAGGATGGGGTTCAGAACTCCCAAGGACAAGAAAGGAATAGGCTTAGCTAAATGGGGAGGAGATAGAAAGCAGGTACCTACCGTGAAGGACCCTTTAGGGAAGGGCCAGAGAAATAGTTCCTTTCATGATAGTCCATAATTCCACCCATACTGTTGCTCTACCTTTCTCTGTTCTTCCAGCCTGAGCCAGGAACATACTTGGCAGCTATCTCAGGAGTCTGAAGTTAGGACTAATGGCTAGGAATGCATAGGTCTGTAACCTTGGGCGATGTTGGGCCAAATCAGAACAAATATTTATAGCCTATGCAGTTGAAGTGGGCTTAAAATCTTCTGTTAGTCATGTTAAGGCATACCGCCAGATCAGACCATGAAAGCATACTTTGACTTCATGGACCAAAGGGCCAAATGAGGGACTGGAGAAAGCAGTTAATTATTGGTTAAGAATAGATCTGTCCCTAGGCAGAGGAAGGGAAATAACAGTGAAGTTCTTAGAAGGTAGAGAAGTTGGGAAGAGAGATTAGAGGAATTTGTCCTAATTTAGGGGTTTCCTTCTTAGTCCACAGACCAAGCCCTTCTGAGAAAGAAGGTAATATTGTGATTTCCCCCTACTCTGTACTCTTTCTGTAATACTCTTCCCCTTGGCATCTTCAGGCATGGCACCCGATGTGCTGGTGAGGTGGCTGCTGTGGCCAACAATGGAATTTGTGGTGTTGGTGTTGCCTACAATGCCCGAATTGGAGGTGAGTCTGAAATCTTCTGGGCAGTGGAGCCCAGACAGGCACTTTAACTTGTCCTTAGCTTGAGTATCGGACCACGTTGGGCCTGTGCAGCTTCTGTTGGCTTAGGAGAGAATGAATGGAACCAGGACCTTTATTATATTCGTTCTTACACCTCCTAGATGGCTTGCATCTGAGATAGAGCTTTATTTCTCCCCATCATTGTAATTGTCTGTCACTTGATTTATACTTGGAAGGAAAGCCCTTAATGTGTCCTCTCCCACCTGCCACACAACAGTACTCTGTCAGACTTCTTCATTAAACGTTTCCTGCATCAGGAAAGCTGGTTTCTAATCCATGTGCCATCACTGTTACTACCCTTGTGACGGATAAGTCACCTAATTTCCCTGGGCCTCAGTTGTGACATCTGTAAAATGGAGGGTTGAACTAGATGACCTCCAAGGTCTCTTTCAGCTCTAAATCCATGATCTAGCAAGATTTCTCTCAGGGCCTGTTTCCTTATTTCTAAATATAGCATCTTAGGTCTCTTCCAGCTCTAAATTCTCCTTCTGGGCCTGCTGATCTCATTTTAGCTGCCGTTAGGCCCAAGTTCTGGCCTGAGCCCTGTCCTTGGAGCCACCACAGATGGACATGTGTCAAAAAGGGCACATGAGGTTCCTGAATGGCTTTACCTTGTGACAGAGAACGGGCAGATGTTATACCTTCTCCTTCCCCTTGGCCGTCTAGGTGTGCGCATGCTAGATGGAGAGGTGACTGATGCAGTGGAGGCACGTTCTCTAGGACTAAATCCCAATCACATACACATCTACAGTGCCAGCTGGGGCCCTGAGGATGATGGAAAAACTGTGGATGGGCCAGCCCGCTTGGCTGAGGAGGCGTTCTCCCGGGGAGTCAACCAGGTAAGGGTTAGGATTACAGGAGACACTTGATAGTAAGGCACAAGGAAAAAGATGGACCACCAAAGGGAAAAGTGGAGTCTCATCTGCCTGCCCTTATCTATACCTCTCACCACACATGGGTTTTCCTATAGGAATTGCCCTTCACCTGTCTCTCATTTCTCACAGGGCCGTGGGGGTCTAGGATCGATTTTCGTCTGGGCCTCAGGCAACGGGGGCCGGGAGCATGATAGCTGCAACTGTGATGGCTACACCAACAGCATTTATACCCTGTCCATCAGCAGCACAACCCAGTTTGGTAATGTGCCCTGGTACAGTGAAGCCTGCTCCTCCACCCTCGCCACCACCTACAGCAGCGGCAACCAGAACGAGAAACAGATTGTGAGTTCTGAGCTCTGGGCACAGAGGATCCGGGACAGCCCAGGAGGGCTTGAAGGTTGCCAGGAGCACTTAGATCATGGGGAGCTCTTTGGCCCCTCATAATTCCTTTCCTCTAAGAGGCAGAGCTCTTACTCTCTCTGAATGGGTTGAAAAGGCACAGTTGAGGTAGCCAAACCCTAGGGAAATTGTAGCACCCTTTAGGGCTGAAGATGCCCTGTGGGCCCCATCTTTGCTTCTTCTCAGTATGCCAGTGATGGGGCTCTCCGGCCATGTATTCATCCTCCCTAGCCATTTTCCCCACTCCTCTTTTAGCTCAGGCTTTAGAAGTGAAGGTCAGAGCTTAAGACCAGGTGAGTGGGAATAGCTCAGAAATCATAAACCATTGAACCGTAGAATATAAGAGCTGAACTTGGCAGTCATCTGTCTTGTCTGTCCCTCTCATTCCACAGAAAGACTGAGGCCCAGAGAGGCTAAATAACTTCGCTGGGTCAGGACACACAGCAGAATAGTGGCCAAGATAGGACATAGTGACCCCCTAGCTCATATGCCATAAAACCTCCTAGCTGGCCCAGGTTTCTTTCCTCTCCTGACACTGCTTGGAATCAGGCCCTTTTTTTTCTCTCTATAGGTCACGACAGACCTGAGACAAAAATGCACGGATTCGCACACTGGCACCTCTGCCTCTGCCCCCCTGGCAGCTGGCATCATTGCCCTCACCCTGGAGGCCAAGTAAGGATGGAGCTAAGAGAGGGGAGGGTGGTTTTACTCTCCATAGCTAGTCTTTGGGTTAGTCCTGGGTCAGTTAACCCTCTATCTCCAGGAGTTCCAATATGCTTATTCAGCCTAGCCTTAGAGTTTTCTCCATGATCTGGTTGAGTCTCAGATGCCTTGTGCTTACTGGGGAGAGCTACAGGTTACTGTTCTCTTTGCCCTTTCATTATGTCCTGCATATGTCTCAGTATCCTCAAGGAATGTCTTAGTCCTTTCTTCTCCCTACTTCTCTCTCTTCTCCCCTCCCTCTGCAGTAAGAACCTGACGTGGCGTGACATGCAGCATCTGGTGGTCCAGACCTCCAAGCCTGCTCATCTCAATGCTAATGACTGGGCTACTAATGGTGTCGGGCGCAGAGGTGAGATGGGAGAAAGTTTTGGGGGACTGGGAGAAGAAAGATGGGACCTGATTTTTATCAGGCTAGCTCAGCACCATCCCACTTCAATGAAATGTCTCTCCTCTCTTTCTGCAGTTAGCCATTCATATGGTTATGGACTCCTAGATGCAGGAGCCATGGTGGCATTAGCCCGGAATTGGACGACAGTTGGCCCACAGCGCAAGTGCCTCATTGACATCCTCACCGAGCCTACGTGAGGGGCAGGGCACGAGGGGGTAGTCTGGGACCCAGAAGGTTGAAAGGAGGGGTGCGAGTAGAAGATGGGCCATGAGAGGGGGTGGGTATCTCCCCTCATTGGAGTAGGACAGTTATAGAGAGTTGAGAAGAGCTAGCACTCAGATTATGCCCTTGTAGAAACCCTTTGGAAAGATTCCTCTTTTTCAAACTATCCTTTTGTGACCTCATCCTCTCTGCCCCAACAGGGGTATCTCCAGATGATCTCGAGCTAGGGCAAGAATAACAGGTTTGTTGTCTCTTTTGGGCAGGGACATAGGGAAACGGTTGGAGGTGCGGAGGAAGGTGACTGCCTGCCAGGGAGAGGCAAATCATATCAATCGGCTAGAACACGCGCAGGCCCGACTCACCCTGTCCTACAATCGACGTGGGGACCTGGCCATTTACCTTGTCAGCCCCATGGGTACCCGCTCTACCTTGCTCGCTTCCAGGTACGGACTATTTCCCTCCCTGGGAAACAACCTTATTTCATATCTGTAGAACTTCCATGTCTAGTTTTCAGCCCAAGGCTTCCAGTGGGATTTTGGGAGGGTATCCCTTACCTCAGGGGCCCTCAACAGATCCATCAGACCTTCCTAATTGACTACAGGCCATAACTCCAGCAATGGAAGCAAGAGGAGAGGAGTGTAGGTGGAAACGACTGCTGCTGCCCTTCCTCCCTCTCAGCAACCCCCTGCCTAGACCCCTTAAAGTGTAGGAAGGGAACTAGGATTTTGGAATTGGAAAACCTGAGTTCAAATTCTAGCTCTTCCTTTTTACTACCTGGGTCTCCTTGGGCAAATCATATAACTTCAGGGCCTCTGATTCCTTACATAAAATGAGAGGCCCTGTGTTCCTGTAATCATAAGACTTCAAATGAAGAATAACCCCTTACCCCCACAAAAGATGTTAGGGACCCCTGTCGAACCCCATAGGAAGCCTGATTTCTTTTGTTGTCCCCTACCTCCAAGACCTCATGACTACTCAGCTGATGGGTTTAATGACTGGGCCTTTATGACTACCCATTCCTGGGATGAGGACCCTGCCGGGGACTGGGTCCTGGAAATCGAAAACACCAGTGAAGCAAACAACTACGGTATGGAGTGGCTTGGGCAGGAGCAGGGGAAAGTGGGAGTGGCAGCATGTGGAGAGGCTTGGGAAGCAGGGAGGGGGGGCCATGATGGTGACTGGGGGAAGAACTAATTAACCCTTTCTGTTCTGGAAACAGGAACGCTGACCAAATTCACCCTCGTACTCTATGGGACAGCCACTGAGGAGCCCGATCTCGCTACACCATCTGAAAGCATCGGCTGCAAGACCCCAGCTTCCAGCCAAACCTGTGTGGGTGAGTCTGGGGGCAGGAGAGGGAACCACTGAACTCTTTGCTTATAGGCTTGAATCTCTGTTCCAGCAGTATTGATACCATGTAAAAACAGCATCCTCTGAGAGGCAGCAGGCCCTTGGGGGAAGCTCTGGTAAAATCAGGGTAGGCACTCTGGCCATCTTGACACCAAACCCTCTGTAGGGATATATGTATAGTGGGGAGGTCTCCTGTTCTTAATCCTATACCGGAAAGTCCACTGGGGCTTTGTGTTACATCAAAAGGTGAGGCAATTTTCAATAGGGAGAACTTGGCCCCCCCAGGAGTAAGTGTCAAGCACCTTACGTGATGTCTTGCACACAGCATTTAATAAGTGCTTATTGATTTGATTTGGCATTCTGTGGGTATAGAATTCATCTAGGCCACACCCCAGTGATCTGACGGTTCTCTGTCCTCTCTGCCAGTGTGTGAAGAAGGATTTTCCCTTCACCAGAAGAACTGTGTGCGGCATTGTCCCCAAGGATTCATCTCACAAGCTGTCAACACACAGTATGGCATAGAGAACAATATGGAGCCCATCCATGCCAATGTCTGTTCCCCTTGCCACCCTTCCTGTGCCACTTGCAAGGGGATCGAGTCCACAGACTGCCTCAGCTGCCCCATCTTCTCTGACTATGACCTGGTGGAGTTGACTTGCACCCAGCAGAGGCAAGCCAGCTTCAAGTCTCCAGAGCTCCCTCATAATGAAGGGCTGCTGCCTTCTCACCTCCCTGTAGTTGTTGCAGGCCTGAGCTGCGCCTTTATTGTTTTGGTTTTCATCATTGTCTTCCTAATCCTTCAGCTACGCTCCGGCTTCAGCTTTCGGGGGGTCAAAGTGTACTCATTGGACAGTGGTATCATATCCTACAAAGGGCTGCCCCCTGACGCCTGGCAGGAGGAATGCCCTTCCGAGTCTGATGAGGATGAGGTCCGGGGCGAGAGGACTGCTTTCATCAAGGACCAGAGTGCTCTTTGATGAGCACCAGATCTTTTCCTCCCCTTATCTGACTCTCCTGGTCACACCTTCCACTCCCCTCCTTGGGCACTTTTTAATTCACCAAAGTATTTTTTTATATCGGGACTTGGGTCAGGTCCCCCAGCCCAGGGGAGGGTATGGAGTGGTAGAGTCTGCGCACTCCCCTCTCATGCTAGCTGGGGAGCTCTGAGATCCTAACCTGCCACCTCCAAAGTGGGGTAGAGGGCTGGGACTCATACCAGCTTTTCTGTGGGACAAGCTCTGGGGCAGAAGAGGCAGAGGACAAGGGGTAGTCTTAGTCAACACAGGAGCAGAGTCAGTCTTCAAGGCATTTCCTGTCACCTAGGGAGCTATGCCATATCCCTCCCCTACCCCCAAACCCACCTTTGTTGGAGGAGGAAATGAGACATTGGGGCAGTGACTGCCCTCCTTTTCAGTTTCCAGATGTACTTAGCATGAGGCTGCTGTGGCAGGGTGGTTTGTGTGGGGAGAGAAGGGAGGGAAAGTAGATTCTTTGTCACAACCCTCCCTTTTATAATTCTTTGGGTACCTCCTGCTTCTCTCTGGCCCAGGCTCTTTCCAGCTGCTTCAGTTCCTTCTAAAGCAATAATGGTCCCAATCCAGCCAGCAGGAGGCACCGGGCAGCTATCTGGCATCTGCCTGGGAGTCTGGGATTACTGGAGGACACCTCTCCAAGGGTTCTTGTTCCCTCCAATTTTCCATCCCAGCCTGTGTCCTTCCCCACAAAGCCACAGGCTTTGGTGGCCTGTGCCATAGAAGTGATTGTTCTAGGAAGGGACCAAGGAAGGGCAGGTGCTTTCAAGGGTGTGTGTATGTATGTATGTATGTATGTATGTATGTATGTATGTATGTGTATGGATGGATGGACCCTCCCTTACCCCTGCCTCCGTATGTGTTCCTGGACCACCCCATTCCTCTCGCACACATCTCTGCACCTTGTGCCTCCAGCACTGCTTCCCAGAAGCCCAGGCGAGCTCAGTACCGTCCACTCAGCCAGGCTGGCAGCAGGTGCCAGGGCACAGCTCCAGCAACAAGCAGAGCTGGTTGTGTCCGGTTCCATCCCTCTTCCTGCCCTCCTGCTGTGCAGGGAGACCAGAGGCCCCTTGTACAGCCAGGGACTTTTTCCTTGTTTTCTGAGCCCGGGGCTTTCTGGGCTGTCCCCCCTCACAGCTCTGTAGCCCCTGGGTGGAGGGGAGGGAGATCATCCCAGAACCCTCCCCCCCATCCTACCTGTTTTTCCCCACCCCACCAATGCTGCTTTCCCCTGTGGGGATCTCAGGGGCCGTTCGAGGATATATTTTCACTCTGTGATTTCACTTTAGATGCTGATTTTTTTGTATTTTTAACTTGGGGTAGCAGCCGGAACACCCACACCGTCTGTCCTGCTGTTCCCCTCCCCACCTCCCTGGCCCTGGTGGGAAAACTGAGTTATTGAGCTCAGGACAGGGCATTGGTCAGGGGGAGAATCGATGATAGGGGGTTATATGGGGTGGAAGGAGAGAAAGGAGTATTTTTTGTGTGTGTTAAGAACAATGATTGGTAGTGCCAAGGGCTCATGGGTCATTCATTTCTCCTTGTGCCAGGGCTGAAAAGTGAGGGGGTAGGTAGGCAGTGGCATAAGGTTTGCCAACCCCCTCCCCACACTGTGCCTAATGGGAAAAAGCACTGACCTATTGAGTTTCCTCCCCCCACCCATACCTCCCAATCTCCCTCTTCTGATGTGCCTTTTGCACCTCCCCCTCCTTCCCCCCATTAGGACAATCAGAATCATCTCCCACTTGGGAGTCCTTTCTTTCTCCCCAATCCCTTAGGAGTTAACCAGCCACCAGGGTGAGAGGCAGTCATCTCTCCCAGCCAGGAACACACCTGGTGTTTCCATCCTTTCTCTCCATTGTCCTCCCATGGCCAGCCCGGGCTGGTTTTGTATGATACCAGGTTTGGTGCACAGTGATTTTTCTTGTAATTTAAACAGGCCCAGTGTGGTGGGTTCTATTTAATGGACGCGAGATGATGTTAGAGGTTTTTAAGTGATTAAATGTGCAGACTATGCAAAACCAGTTGTTCTTCATTTATGTTCTGACCCAGGTTTCTTCCCAGCACTCACCCATCAATCCAGACTTCTGTCAGTGGGGCAGGGAAGCTGGCCAGTGGTCAGGCAATCTAGTTTTCTTTTACTCTTAAACTCTGGCTCCCTTGTCTAACCTGTAGTCTGCCACTTCTAACAAAAGGAAAGAGATGTGTTTCACTGTCAGTTCTCTGGAATCAAAATCGGTCATTGCATCAACCTGAATTCTAATGACTTCTGAGTGCTTTCCTTTCCCTTCCTTTATTGTTTATCTTCATTCTGCATCAGTCCAGGCGAGCCTTCCCAAACTTCTCAAAATTCCCCACTGTCTGTCCTCTTCCTTTTCTTTCCCCACGACCACTCAATGCCCATTTCATTAAAGAACCTTCTTCCCTTTTTCATTGCAAGGCAGCCGGCCTGTCTGCATGCTGTCCCTTAATTTACTGTGACATCTGCCTCTGGGCCTTGTCTGCCCAGCTTTTCTACCTCTTGGTTTCTGTCCACTCCTCCTCCTGGTTTCTGTCTTCCCTGCCTAAGGAGGAGACTGAATCTGGAGTCAAGGACCTGCCTTCAAATTCTACCTCCACTTAATAGAGCCATAACCTTTGGCAGATAACTGCACCTCATTTACCTCGTCTGTACCCTGAGGCTGTTGGCCCAGCTGGTCTCTAACGCTTCCTCCAATTCTCAGTTCTGTGATCCTTGCTTGATGCTGCTGTGCTCTGGTTTTCTGCAGTCCTGTGCTTTGAATAAGAACTCTTCCTGAGAACTGAGGCCAGTTCTAACCAGGTGAATTAGAACAGAGAAACTAGGAGGCAGTTAATTTAAGGACATTCACTGCCTTCCAGCTACAAAAGTTTGGAACAAGGCCTGGATTTGTGATTTCATTGGAATAGGAAACTCCTGCACCTTACCAGTCTTAGAGATGTCAAACACTGACTCCCAAGTGTGCATGCAATTGGGAAAAAAATTTAAATACAATAAAACATAGATATAATTACATCTTAAAATTAAGTTGATCTGTCACTCCTATACAGATAGTTCAGTGAGTTTGAGAGCCCTGACTTAGAGCCACATAACCAAATTGTCATAGGATAAATCTTCCTGGCTTTGAGTTAGCTCTTTCCTCGATACCATAAGTAAACTCCTTGAAATAAGGAGACTTGGACCTGCCTGTAAGTTTCATGTCCTTCTTAGCTAGACTTGGCCTTTAGTTTATCTTCAACTGCCTGTAGGTTGAGCTCCTGAGTGTGCCATCATCTCTAAGGTAGTTAATTCTCACTTTAAACAGGTCCCTAAAGAAACTTGGAATCACAGAATCTAAATCATAAGGGACCTCAGAGGTAATCCACTCCAACGTATTTTCTCTTTATGACATAGTCTAAGCAAAGGCAGGATGGTGATTTTTTAAAGACCTCCAGCGAAAGGGGACCCACACCCACCCTAGCTAGCCTGTTTCCACTTTTGCATATAGCTGTTACAAAGAGTATTCTTACATCAAGTCTAAATCTCCCTCTTTTGAAATATTTTATGGCTTTTAAAAAAATACATATCGTCGTACTTCCCAATCACTCCCCTCCATGACCACCAATAGAACCCTTCCATATAATAAATTAAGCAAAACATATCAATACCTTGGGCATGTCTGAAAATATATTCCAAATCTATAATCCACCACCTCTCTGCAGGGAGGCAGAACATATGTTGGCATCAGTGTTAGTCCTCTGAAATTGCTATTTTACTCTGCCATAATCAGATTTATAGGTAATATACAATATAGATAATAGATTTATGAACTGGAGGCCATGTTAGTACAACCCTTTCAGTGTTGTCTTCTATTACATTGTGTCTGGGAATCTATTGTGTTTGCACTTCACCAAGGATGTTTCCACTGAAGGGTTGGGTTTCCATAGAGTTGGGATTAAAGAAGATGGTACCTGAAGATGATGGAGCCCCTAACTTCCCTTCCTAAAGCATTTACTAATGTGGAATCTTGAGTTCTGAGTCAGGTTGTTGAAAAAGCCTAGCTTGGCACAGAGTCACTCTAGGCTGAGCAGAGGTAAGCACCCACTTTAGCAAGAAAACTCAGAATCAATTAGGTAGTCAGAGTTTCTACATTAACATATGACTGCTTCAATTTCATAATATTGATTCCAGCTGCCCCCACCCCTTTCCTTAAATACACTTCCTGTTAAGAAAGTAGTGGCTCTTGCCCCATTGGTCTAAATATGGGGTTTATAGGGAGGATGAGGCAAAATTGGGGTTGCTGTTATGAAACTGGCAGGGAGAATTGTCATTATTTGAGTCTGAGATCCCCTTCACTGAGAGTGGTTAACATAGTAGGCTCTCAGTATAGTACAAAGTAGAGACCTGACTCTAGAGTGATAGGACCTCTGACCTTACCTATGTGATCTGAGGTGCATCTGCTTTTCCCTGAGCCTCATCTGTAGAATGAGGGGGTTGGACTAGATGACCTCAGAGGTCCTTCCAACTCTGGCTCTACAGCCCTACCAGAAAAGGTTTCAGAAGAAGCACCTGAGGCAAATGGAAATCAGAGAGCCAGGTCAACTTAATTGGATCCCCCATATGGACCTGGGTGGGGTTCAGGGCACACCATTTGTACAAGAAAAAATGGCTACTGTGACATCATCCTACTTACTTACTTCAACTTCCACATCAATCAGAAGATGGCATTGCTGTTGATGGAAGGCAGAAACCTCTGCCTAAATGTCCTTAGTGATAACCTAGTACAAGATTTTATAAATGTAAACTATTATTCCTGAGTGAGCCAAGGAGGTATTTAGATACTGACTCTTCATGAGCTCAAATCAGAATTCCCTGCTTAGTTTCACACAGTTTTAAAAAAATTTTTAATTGAAATTTTAATCAACAAACATTTCAGTATACAAAAAAAAGGATTGAATGTGAAACAGTGAACTTCCATTACAGTTTTTTTTTAAAAGGGGTACTAGGTGGCACAGTGGATAGAGCACTGGGCTTGGAGTCAGGAAGACATCCTCATGTGTTCAAATCAGACACTTAGCTGTGTGATCCTGGGCAAGTCAATTAACCCTATCTGCCTCAGTTCCTCATTTGTAAAATGAACTGGAGGAGGAAATGGCAAACCATTCCAGTATCTCTGCCAAAACAACAAAAAACCCAAATGGATCACAAAGAGTCAGACATGACTAAAACAACAAAATCACTTTTTGGAAGACTAGATCCCTTATTCTCCCAGGCTAAAAGTGTAGTCACAGGTCTGATGGATAAAAGTTTTAATTTGGGTTTTTCTGACTTGGGCCTTCCTCCTCCCAAGCATTCACCATATTTGTGCCAAATAATGCAAACATCTAGTTCCCTTTAGCCCTGCTGCAGCTCACAGTCCCAGAATTTGAATGATTCAAACCTCAAACACCCCCCAGTAAAAGACATTACAGGCATACACTACAATGCCCAGAATCAATGCTTTCTTGATTTTTTACCTTATTATTTCCCATTAATTTACCCTTCACCAAATAGAAGTTCTCCCTTATACCAAATAAGTCATCCTCATTTCTCTCCCACGGGAACTTTGGATCCTTCCCTTAAAAAACAGGAACTTTTGATAGGTGAGATGAACTTTCACCTTATTTTGTCCTAAACTACACCTCCACTCCATTTCCCATCTCCACACCTTTACAGACTCCCTTTATGTGTTACCATACCTCTTTTGAGTACAGGCACTACCTTGGATGTATTTCTATTCCCATTGATTAGCCCAATGCCTGGCACATAGTAAGTGCTTAATAAATGTTCTATTTAAATATGCTTTAGGAAGACTCATTGACCACATTTTAAAATTCATGTTTCTT